TACTGAAATAGGTTTGCGAGGTGGTTATGCCCTTTTGTTTGTCTCTCTTGCAATACACATAGAATTTTAGCCTGCTGCCGCACCCCTTCCATAGAATTACGGTTGTTGGGAAGCACAGCACATCCAATTCGTTATTTAACAACAACAGTGACAATGACGACGACAAATAAAGGAAACCTATGAGCTTAATTTGTTTAACAAATAAAGTGGAGTCGACAGATTGTTGCTGTGGCCAGAAGCATAACGCTTCCGCGGCTGCATTTGCGGCACAGCCACCATAAGACATAAACCCTTTAGTCAAGTACCGTAGTAATCAGATGCGCGAAACTTTTGATTTTTAGTCGTTACACCTCGCCTGCCCCCCAAAAAGGCGGCAGCAGCGTTAGTAATTATGTTAAAAAAAAGTCAGCTAGCGAACTATTACGCGAACAGGCGTCCGGTTGAGCCCTCCAGCCTGCAACCCCAGCCCGCAGAAGGATACAATGCAGAAATTTCGTATACTATGTGGTACTGAATATGGTCAACGAAGAAGCGGCCGAAACCGAGAAAGGCTTAATTGTTGAAAGCGTGTTGTCTTGCTGATGTACGTGGACTGCCTAAAAAGACAAACTTTAACGGGTAGGCGCAGCTAAGCTGGGGCGTCTGAGGCGAGTATTAGAGTACACAATAGGCAAACGCGATACAAATGTTTGGAACACGCAAAGAACTGGCTAGGGAATAAGAGCTCTTTATGGCTGCACTGCTGTTTACGCCTACTGTAGATAGTGATAATTTGATGAGGGTTGATCTGTAATCTTTCTTTATTAAAAGTACATTTGTTTGAAACGTAAAAAATGAGTGTCTAGATACGCACGCGAAACTATGACAGGCGGTTATTGGTCCTTGTGTATTCCGCTAATTCGCACTTAATTATCATCATAGTATAGAAAAATATGAATTTTATGTCTAGATAGTTAATATAGATAAATACTTTCACATCAATAATCGTGGACGATTATACAAAGTTAGTTAGATACCACGAATAGGCATCACGCAGATGGTTGGCAGTGTCTACTCTCGCTGTCTAATACATACCTAACGTGTACGCTATATCTTATCTGGTTCGCATTTGTATCTGTTCAAAAAAGAAGTACATACACAAGGTTTCTTCTTTTTCAGCTTCTGTTTTATTTACAAGAGTTCTATACGGATAAAAAATGAACAAAACTTGCAACCTATGTTTAAACCTCGATTTTGGTTTGTTTGATCCGATTGATTAGTTTAGATAATAAAGCGATTAGTCACAGAAAATAAACGAGTGTTTGTTGCGCTCGTCTCTAACTCTGCGAAAGACCATTGTCGCTGAGTGCGCTACCTGCAGAGTTGCGTCCTCTCAAAGCGCCGTACTTCGCATGGAGCGGTAAGCCACCGGGGGCGGGGGGGGATAAATGCCGATTTTCCTAAATTATAATTTAATTAACTCAAATACGTTACTGGTTGAAAGCTCGAATGGTTATCTAGAATCTGAACGAAAACGAAGCACGACGATATATGTGTGCCAAGGGAAATTGCAAAGCTACAATTCGAGGCTCAAATGCATTTTAGTTCGATTTTTAATCTGTGCAACTTGTCGTAGGAGGTAAGAGCACATGAATGGTAGAATATCTATAGTTATTCCATAGGTTTCCTAAACTCCCGGCTGCAATTGCACGTAATAGTTACTTAGGATTTCTACGGATATCGAAAAATAAGGTGCCCACTTGGACCCCATATTCTCCTACCACGTTTTCTATACATGCTTGCGCAACAAATGCGTACAAAAATAAATCGATGTCTTAGCGATATGACTAGGTAGAAGCCAATGCTTAATTTCAACCCACGTGTAAAAAGACGACCCAAAACAAAATCACATAACTGACCTATTAGATGTTGGGACCATACAATCTAACAATGTTAAAGAACATTTTTTTAACGTATCGTTAAGGTACTTAATTCACATACCCTTTTTCCGCCTCACGCACAGAGCTTCTTCAATAGTGGTTATCTGAGTACGTCATTGGGCTTATCTTAAGAAATCAGCCTAACTGTGTCCAGTTTAGCGTAGGACGGCGACCACTAAAAGGAATAACCAGATCTAAACAGGTAGAATTTCAAGTCGATATCAATGCAGCACCCTGCTATTGTCCCCCTTCACGACTGTCGTGATTTCTCCGCAACGCGTTCGAGTGGACTCCACAAGTAAAGCAACGTAAATAAGTTATCAAGAGACGGGGCATGTCCATTTGCTCTTTTGTAATTATATCCGTAAACTGGGCATTTTTAGATTTTTTATAAATGATAAACAACAGTTAGCTAGAAACTAAATTTTTCCGTTGTACTCGAGACATTTGGCTATCTACGTGTACTATACGGACTTCACTTCAATTCTCAATATTTCTGGCTGCTACAAAAGTGCCTGTGCGGCACTTTAATGTGTGTGTAACATTTGGTAGAGCGTTACTTCTGTTGAACACTGCAGAAAATCTTGAACCATGCAATTAGCCTTTTTAGGTTCGTAAAATACTCTCTAAAAAATTGGCAGAAACCGGGTGCTTTGAACGTGATAGGCTAAAAATATTACCCATATCTGAAACAATGGTTCCCAAGGAGGGTTTATTCCAATAAATAAGTTTTTTTTTTTTGTAATTACTATATAAAAAAAATAACAAGAGCGCTTTTAAAGCTATTCTTCGGTAATAGTTGTAAAATCCAGCGAGCGAGAGAGAGAGAATTGGGCACAAGTTTAAATCTATTTTTGAGCGGAATAAACTTCCTTTGAAACAAGATGTTGGTGACAGCGTTAAGTAGCGATGCGTAAAAATTGAATAGAATGATTGCGTTAATCTTTAGCAATTGCATATATACTACCATATGCACCAGAGTTTACATCGAATCATCTTTGCAAGATGTTTGCAACTAACAATCCCAATAAGTCTATAATTATCCGTAAATTCCGTAGAAAACAATAACCGATTAACAAGTTGTCATTAACTTGTTAATTGGTTATTGTTTTGTCTAGTAAAAGAGCAGTGAAAACCAAAACGAATCGATTAAGGATCTCGAGTACCGGTGTACCGTGTACTCGTCGTCAATGCGATAGAACCTATCAAATCTGCTAGGCACACGGTGCATGTATGAGCCCCCCCACTCTCCGACCCGATTTATCAATACTACATTTCGCAAATATTTAGAGGCCTAATTCTATTATGGATCTATTATTACTGCTGCTATGGGTTAACACGTCTATTAAAAAGAAACTTGTATCATTTAGCGAGTTAGTCATTGGCGCAAATGTACTTGTCATGACATTCTTGATCAAAATTTTCAATAATGAACAGTTCATTATTAATTAATTAATAATAGTTACAAAATGAGATCGGATTCGAGCAAAAAATTGAGCTTTTCTTAATAAGCTAATTATTCATTCATTAATAAGCTAAATTACTTTTTTCCTGTGGTGAGTGGCCATTATTGTATCTCATGGCTGTAATACATAGCGTAACATGTTGCATTCGTAGATATTCTCCTCTAACTAAACTTTTATGTTGGTACGGTAGAGGTGGATTCTGAAAAGCCAATCGGCCAACAGTATAGATTCTCTGATAATAGCGTTCAATAATTCTACTGAACAAAGCTGCAGTAGCTAATCGATAATAATGTTTAAATAGAATGTGTCGCAAATGTGCAGTGGCGACATCTTGCGGCATTATGCGCTTGGCGTGTCTTTTGCGTTCGCGACTTGGCAATAATCTTTTTGCCTGAACACGGCGATTTCTGCGACGTTTTCGGACCCTCGAGCATTTTTTGTTGGTCTCTGGCAAACTGTGCAACCCAAACCTGTAACGTTTACCAAATTGAGCTCTGGTTCGCAACATATGACGCACGTAGCAGAAGTTCCATAGGGTATATGTTAATTGAACAGTGAAGCTATCACAGAACAGTGAAAAACTACCCATTTTATTAATTGTATCCCAAGAAGTACTATTCCTTATATTGCTATTTAAAATAACTAGCCAGTTTGCTATTTGAAATGACCGTCATTGGATGCAACCTACTCTGAGAGAACCATGCACCTCTTAAAGGAATCATAACGCACCTATAATATCGTTTCATCGTGATTTGCTTAACCCTACATATGCTGGAGAAGCTTGCAAACATGGAAATTAATAGGAATTAAGCAGAGGGAAGCACCCAGCATTCTAGGAGAAATCAGTATTACATTATCCCTATTCGAGAATATGTAGTCACTCTGTTTTTGAAGCGGAATGCCAGACGCGGCCTACAACGTCATCAAGCGACGAATTTGTCAATTCTTCTTTGATGTTACGCTTTGATAAATTAACATTTCAAGAGTCTGTTAGGTTTTCGTTAGGTACTATGTTGATTCTAATGTTTAGATATTGAGCTGCAAACTACTTGCTCAAAGGTTCTTTATGTTAAAAGTAAACAGAAACGCCTGTCTGAATGAAGCTCTTTTAGAACTTTTTTCTGTTGAAACACATGTTGTAAAACCATAGGTTACCTCTAATTTTGAAATGCTTCGTGTTTTTGTGTTCTTCCCTAAAAGTTTCATCAATGCAAATGCAGCGTCTAACATTGATGCGTATTGTGTTCGAGCACGCGATTTCAGTATGAGAAAAGTGCCGTGCCTTTCATTGCGTTGTTATCTTGCTTTTGTAGAATTAGTCTACTATAGGCAGTCTCTTTTGGACCTTGTGCCATATAACAATTTAAATCTTCAATTGCATGAACCGTGATGCGTATTAATGCGTCTTTTACAAGAGACCGTGTGAGAGTGATACTTAAATTTGTTTCCGTTTCTAAGCTAATCAGGAATCGATAGAACTTGCACCGGTATGCACTAAAGCTAAGTAGGTGCACAATCTAGCAATTATTTGGTCTAAGGACGCACGGATAAAAGGACACCTAAAAATTCGTTCCGTTAATTCATATTAGCTCACGAAACTTTGTTCTTGTTTCAGATGGTATCTACACGTTGGGGTATTATATCGGCAGGGAAGATCTCCCACGACTTCGTAACGTGTCTTCGATCGCTTCGAGACCACGAAGTTGTCGTGGTGGCAGCCATGAATGTGACGAACGCAAGAAAGTTTGCCCTGCTTCACAAAATAGAAAAAGTGCTCGACAACTACGACGATATGGCTAAACAAGACAACATCGGTAAGTCGATAGGCACATATACATCGTTATTTGTTCGTGCTGTAAATGGCGTGTGTACATAATTAAACGTCGCTTACATGATAGCATAATTCTTCATTCCGAAAGTTTAAAGTGAAAAATGTATAAAATTTTTCAGATCTGGCCACGTTGCTACCGTTAAGTATCTGGCATAATCTTTAATTTACATGAAAAATGAAATTTCCAGGACACAGATAATGTAGGTCTGCTAGTTAAATGTGTTCTGAGCACCATCGAATATATCCAGAATATAATATCAACGGATTCCATTAATGTTGACTTTTTCTTTTTGAGTTTGTCTAGTATTCAAGTTTCTAGAAAACCCTCCTATTGTTTGCAGATATTGTGTACTGTGGATCCTTGAATCCACAGCATTATACGGTGGTAAAACATCTACTTGAGAACGGCAAGCCTGTCCTTTGTGAGAAGCCGTTGACAATGTGTTTGGAACACACAGAAGAGCTCGTGAAAATCGCGCGCAAAAATAAAACCTTTCTCATGGAGGTGTGTCAACACAGACCAATTTCAAGAGTAAAAACTACCATTCTAAGTCTATAGCCCTTCCAATTTTTTTTCGAAGTCAAGCATTCTTCTACCATATAGACAGAAAATATCAACCTATCAGAAAACTACTTTATGCTTTTCTGATAGGTTGATATTTTCCAGTTGTCAAACATCTTAGGTTACTCGGACATGCATCTTCTCTTTAGCCGAAACAAAACGGCACTAGTATTGTTTTGATAAACAATGTCCATATATATGTATATAAAGTGACCTGTACTTTTCTTTTGTATGTTTACTTTCTTTACAGGCCATTTGGTCTCGATTTTTGCCGGTATACGATGAATTGCAGAAGCGCCACTCTGAGATCGGTGAAATCCACTCTGTTGAAGCGTCCTTTGGTCTTGCAGAAATAGGTGGCGTTGACCGTGTGACCAAACCTGAACTAGGTGGGAGTTCGCTGCTTGATATCGGCATTTACGTAATTCACTTTGCGCAGCTTATCTTCAAGGTATAACCTAAATATGTTGACCTAGTTTAGGCTTCACAAAACCATTGACAATCAGTTATTTTTAAGTAGTACATCTATTAATTTGTTAGCGGCAATGTGAAACCAGACCTACTAGAGCGGTGATTCGACAACTCCTTTGCGATTTTTCTTTCTGATATATCTTATATGTAGGTTAATTTTATGGAGTTTCGCAATCGTCGTGGGTCGTCACTTTTTGTTGGAAAGAGTTTCTTTTGCAAAAAAATCACAATATTGTTACACAATTCATGAATTACGTATCGAAATCCGTATCAAGTATACTCTAGATTTCAACTGGAATTTATGCTGTGCTTTTTCAGGAACCCTGCATTTGGTCCTTGCGTATTATTTTATCATTCATAATCGTCATTTCTTATTATAATTAGTATAGTTGTTTCTTACTTATAGGACGTGTACCCCTCGGAAATTCGAGCTGTAGGAGAAATTACTCCCGATGGAGTGGACGTGCAAACGTGTATTTCTCTCAAGTACCCGTCTGGCAAGCTGGCATCTTTAACGACATCCGTGCTCGCTGATTTGCCCTGTGAAGCCACGGTGTTCGGCAGTAAAGGAAAAATCAAGGTAAGCATGTTGAATTTCTCCCGAAAAGATGGTATAGTAAAAGGTGGAGCTGTTGAATGAACTGAAAAACGGTTCGAATAGTCTAGCAACCGTTATTGGTAATGTATTATTTCGGTATTATATGGTGTCCCATGCCAACAAGTGACTTTACTTTTTCTCAAATAACAAATCAATTCAGTCACAAATCAATGCTTACGAGGTAAATATCCCGAGGAAGCCCGAACTAATTATGGCTATGAATCTGAAAATCTCTTTACTGAATCAAGTCAACATCCTCAATTAAACCCATTGTCAGGTACTCTGTTCCCGGCTATATTTATCCGCTTAACGTAGACTGTGACGTTATTTTTAGGTGCACAAACCGTTCTGGTGTCCGGACTCAATCGAAGTCAACGGTAAAACGGAAACGTTCCCATACCCTGCAACCATCGGGCCGTGTAACTACGTAAACAGTTCGGGCCTCAGGTAAAACATGCGGTCAGCCATTGTTCATTCGGGGGCTTCTATAGTTTTCGGAGCGTTTTCTCAAATACTATCGGGTATTTGAGGATGTATTATTAGGATGCCAATAACCTTTTTGCAACAACATTAGCACAACTGTTCTGAGGGGCGACTATAGTCCTGCGGCTTATAGCCCTGTTGTCTCAAATAACTTTCGTGTGGACGAAGAAAAAGCTAAACCTGTTCTGAATAGCTGAGATAACGCGCACACATTGTTATCATTACGAAGACTGCCTAAATAATTGTCT